AAGAAAAAGTAGAAAAATAGTATAGGATGGCCTCATATAAGTCTTGGTGATTTTGCCCTGGCGAAATAAAACATGGACGCGGCAATAGAGGCGACACAATGTAAGATGGAAGGATAGTCTAGCTATGTGTCGCTCTCGGATGTATCGGCACCTTAGAGAGGCCAACTATAACAGTTGCTCATACCAGTGGTTCCGCAATAATAGGCTGTCTACTTATGTTACCTACGACATAGAAGCCTATCTATCCCATAAAGAAAGCATAGCTGGAGCATCTATATGAAGTAGACCAGGCACATAATCTTAGCATATTGCTATATAAGATCGGGTTCGCTGGCCATTACTACTCATCCGTATGAACATATTGTATGTATGTACATATATACTTAGGCACATGGAGAAACAGAACAAGCCGATATAGTAGTATAATATTTGGAAGACGGATTAGATTAGTGTAAATGTATAGCAACTCTAATATGGTTTCTCGGAATACGTCTCGCAGCCTTGATATCATGATTATGGTCTCGCCTTAATCCCACTTCTTGCTACAAGGCGGAATACGGTACTGGAGCCTCGACCAACTACCTTAAATGACTAGGTGAGCCCTAATAGACAAAGATCTCTGGAACAAGTATTTGCGAGCTACGTGCAAATATTATTTTTTAACCGTAACCAGAAGAGCTAAAACGCACTACGATCTTTCTTCATTTCCTTTACATCCTTCCATCCCACCCAATAGCTCAGTCATCAGAGCCAACCAACCACCTATCTGTCTGCACAGCCCGGCTCCTTGCTTAGACAACCATCCCTTACTTGTTCGATGAGCAAACTAACCACATATATACCTCTTAGAGACAAAGAGCTCGTCTCGTTAGTTAACAGATAGACATGAGCAGGAAAAAAATATATCAGAAAGAAAAAAAAAGAAATCCCCCTCCCCCCCTACCAAAAAAATGAAGACGGGATGGTGAGCAAAGAGAAAATAAGTAACTTGAGTTGAAATAGAGCGTAACAGGTGTAGTAGTAATAAGTAGCAGTAATAGTAGTAGTAAAAGGAAGATACAATAAAACTCTAGGAATAAGTCCGGGGTTCGACGAATGAAGCCAGGTATACCATTTACACTCCCTGCGCTATGCACCACCCATTCAGATCCCGCCTTACTGCACATATCCGTCCATTTGTACAAAAGTTGGTCCTTCCACCTAGGTCAGAACTTTCAATGTATATCGGGCAACAAGGTCGTCGACATGGTTGACAGTAAAAGAACCTTACCCACCACTCCCAGCAACCAAGGCCCCTTCCCCTAGATGTCCCTTCTAGAAAATCGGCCTTTTTTTGTCTTTTCCAGCTCCACTCAAACATTTCCGGTGTAACTTTTTCTTGTCTCTCAAAACAAAAACGTTTCCCCCACAAACACCCTGCTAATCCTTTGGTATCCTCGACTCCCCCCTATGCCGCATCTTCAAAAACTGAGCCCACACCCTTAGGAAGTGCCGTTTTCTACGTCCTGAGAAGTACCGCCAAGGATGACACCGCCCATGATTTACCGTGCACTACAACATTCCAAACACGGCTGAAATTGGTTATAGTGAAATCGGATACCGAACACCCCGCACGAGGTCCGTACGGGCCGAAATACTATTTGCGTTTAAGCAGGTGATTTGTTCGAAGGCGCACCAGCGCCATTCTGACGAGCATCGCCACCACTGACGGACAAACCGCCAATACCGGAAGAGAGGAATGCAAACGGATCGTTTTCCGACTGAGACGAGTAGAAGTTATTAGATGGCCCGGCCGAGGCGGGACCGTTGCTTGCAGACTGGAAAGCAGCCTCGGCAGCTCGGCTATCAAATGGTCCTGCCGAATGCGAACCCGGAGCAGGCCCGAAATGAGTATTCAGAGATGGGTACGGGGCGGCACCGCCACCAATGCCTGAGGGCAAGGCATATGTGCTAGGCGGGCCTCCAAAGTGGTGGCCGTAACCGCCAGACGCTCCAAATGGCCCGGCAGCAGAGGCAAACGGGCCTGGACCCGGCGTTCCGGCCATAGACCCGGAGCCCATACCGTAGCTAGAACCGCTATCCATTGGCGAAGGATAACCAGAGTCGGCAACTACTGCAGCGCCAGCACGGCTGGCACCACACCGAAGACAACAAACGTTCTTAGCAAAGTTGTGGTAACCACAAACTTCATTGCCACACTTCCAATCTCCAGCTCGAAAGGGGACAACACCACTACCACCCATGCGACCTCCTCCATGGCCCATGTTTCCGTGATGGCCGCCGTGATGCGGCGGAGGACCCATCATAGCCGGCGGACCGTAACCATAGCCGTAGCCCATGTCACCTTGAGGACCGGCGCTTACTGCGGGGAATGAGCAGCGGAAGCAGGCCGTCCGTCTCTGAAAGTTGGAGAAACCACATGAGGGGCATGTCCAGTCGCCAGGGCGGGGTCGGTTTTTACTCGGGGGGAAAGGCGTCAGGATTTCAGCGGCTCGATCAAGCACGCGACTAGAAGACGGTGAAACCTCAATGGCCTTCTCGTTCAAAGCGCGACCATTCATGCAGAGGCTCTCGGCGGCCTAAAATGTCTTAGTTGGGATACAGAAACATATAATATAAGCATATATACGTAAGAACATACCTCTTCATGGGACGAAAACACGGCAAAGCCGGTACCTGTGGGCTTATGCTGTTCCGGGGTACGTAGGGTCCAGAAAGCAATGGGACGGCCACCAAATTGGGTAAACCAACTCTCAAGCTCCGACTGGGTAGTATCGTGAGGCAAACCAGACATGTGCAGAACCTTGCTTCGCTCAGATAGGAATGCACGAACATCAGCACGGGCATCCATAGGACGGGTCAAGACGTCAGGATGCTCCTGGGGTGGCTGAGACTTGCGAATCAGGCCGCGCAGAACTCTGGCAAGAGTCACCGCCTCTTCCATGGCACGTCGAGGAGATGCTGGGGCAAGAGCCTGCAGGTGAAAGGGGAGGTTATGTTTGATAGGGGCACTGGATTGGACGGGCTCGACCTCGAGGGCAGCGCAGATGTTGGAGAGCATCGAAGGCCCGAAGGGGAGAGATTCAGGATGGTGCTGTTGCCATCGTTGATATTCGGTACGTAGATCGAATGTCCTCGAGTGTTGCAGGTAGGGTGGGAGTACAACGGCTTTGTCGCGAGCTTCACGAGGAAGCTGGACACGAAGGTCCCAGGCGTCAAGAGTGACAAAGACGAAGTCGAGATTTTGAGAGGTCAGGTGCTCAGAAGCGAAAGCATCGAAGCGGTTAACCGCGTCCCGGAAAGTTCCCGCATTTCGTACATGCTCCCACGTCAGGGTCGTAAGGCTGGCTATAAGCGCAAAACATATAAGTATTAGTCTGATGAAGCTAGAGATGTGTGCAGAGGGAATGGCGATGCTCGGAGAAAAGGAGGAGGAAGAATAGGAGGAGGAGAAAGGGGGGAGAGAGGGAAAAAGGGGCGGTTAATCCCGTAGCTACGACTTACTGCATAATGGTGTAATAGGTGTATTGATAGGTTTCACGAGCACGCTCTCACGATGAATCTAGCATTGAAAGAAATAAGTCAGCACGCAAAGGTTCAACCCTTTATAGCAATAAACTCGTTGATTTCCACCGTCCATATCCCATACCTCTTCAAGCGACTTAGAATCTAGGAGGATCCAGCCAAGCTCAATCACCTCTGCGGAATCCTTCGTGACATAGACGCCGTGTTCATCACAGGTAGTTGCTACATGGATAACGACGTAGCGGTCGATATGAGGAGGTGGAGTCTGCTGGCTCGACATATTGGGCAGACTCGATGCCTATGATATAGGACGGCGGTAGTGGTGATGTTGGTACGTGGTATGTGGTATGTAGTATGTAGTATGTGGTATGTAGTATGATGTTTTATAGTACAGTAATTAAAGTCGGACTTAACGCGGCTCGATGTAGTATTGTATGTTACGACGGAAACCTGTCGAGTTGAACTGAGCAGGTTTTAAGAATTTAGAAACCCCAAAAGTTCAAGAGGATCGAGGGTCATAAATGTGGGATCGCAGAAAGGAGGTCAAAGGCGGTGGCCGAGGTGTCGTAGCAACGAGCGACTGGAGCTCCAGTTTGTTTTTTTTTTAAATGTGGATGATTAATAAAAAAAACCACAACGAGAAAAGCTTTCGATGCAATGCGCGATAAGGAAGAATCCAACGTCGAAAAAGTAGTTGTAGTTATTCCCTTTTTTTTCTTCCTTTTATCTCGATAGGATTTTGACGTCTACCCAGTTATAAACCAGGCAGCTCCTCGCAATCTCGCAATCTCGCAATGCTGCAATGCCGCAATATCGGGAAGGGGGATCGAGGAAAGCACCGGAACAAGAAAAAAGGAAGAGGAAAAAAGAGAAGAGATAATAAGGGGGGAGAATGATGTTCTCTAGTAGAGAGGGATAAGAGAGAGTGAGTCTGTTGTGCGCAGAAGGAGGAGAGGAAAAAAAAAAGAGCACAGAAAATGAGACGAGTCACGACGAACACCTCCCGGGATTGTACAGTTGCGTGGTGGGTTCGGTTGTAGCGAGAGCTGTTGGTTTTGGGCAGTGTGCATAGTTGGTCAATCTCCTTATAATTGATTGACTGATTGATTGATTGATTAATTGAATTTTTTTTTCCCTTCCCCTTCCTTTCCTTTTGGGTACCCCCTCTTCCCCTAAACTTCCTATTACCTAACTAAGCCAAGTCTCTCCTACCTCTAATTATTTTATCCCGGACCCCGAAAGGCCTCTTAAAAAAAATTTAGACCGGGTCGAAGAGCGTTGAATTGTGGAGTTGCCAACGTAGGTACAAACGCATGTGGGCTCTATAAGTATGTACCTACCTCCTTACATAACGTCGTCATCTGCTTACCTCCCTGGGTACTAGCACCACTTTCATTTTATCTTCCTCTTTACAGCTTAAGAGGTAGATTATAAGGAGAGTAACTACTTGACCTATAAAGATAAAATTGCGTATATGTTATTATATTTCATTAGGTCCCTCCCCGGTATACATTTAAAATGTATAATATAAGGTATATTATCACCCATTCGCGCATACGTTCCTTACTATATGCCCTTACGCCATGTATTAAGAAATACATATATACCTCTAATACGGTCATATGATTATTAACATATTCATACTTACAAATACTTCGATGTGCGGGGTTCCAAATGATGGCTTCCATGGTATGTAGAACAAGTTAACGTACGAGAATGGCAGCTATGTACCTACCTCCCCAGACTATGCTTTACGTAAGGTACGCTGCTACTGATCGACGTCATCGGCGTCGTCCCGCATACCGAGATTTAAAACATACCTACCAGGTACAAAACCAAAGTAAACCGGTAATTCCGAATCTTTGTATTTCATTAACTTGTGACATCCAATCCTGGCCACCAGTAGTGAATGACCATTACTTTACCCTTTACCTGCCTTAATATCATCGGCTTCTAACTCGCAAGCATTTCCTACTTAATCAAAATGGGAGCTGCATCGGCTATACTCATCGTCCTCATAACTATCCTTTGTGAGTAGTGTACCAAAGAAGTCTCGGTGTAGGCACTGGCTACAGGACAATCTAACTTAACTGTCTAGTCCCTCCGATTGGTGTCTGGGCCGTCGCCGGATGTGGCGCCGATCTGCTTATCAACATCTGCCTCACCATCCTTGGGTATGTAATGGAGCGAAGGTCTTATTACATGAAGCGATGCTAGAAAACTAGCTGATATGTTAAGAGCAGATACCTCCCAGGCCATATACACGCCTTCTACCTCGAGTACGTCTACTATGACCGTCGAGAGCAGGCCAGAGAGGGCCGCTATGCCGCCCGACGAGCTACCGGCGTGTACAGCGACCGCGTGCAAACAGGCGGCTACGGGTACGGCACGATGGTTCCGCCGGGTACCCACTAAATAGCCAGTTTACGAAGAGGGAACGTCGGTTTAATTCCAGGAGGGCGTTTTGGTTTGTAGCATTAAGGGGTCAGATGCTTTCGAAAGACACTGGTAGTTGGTACGTAATAGCAGTATATTCATTCATTGATCGAAATAGTCTCGCAGATTTGCTGAAGAAAAGTATGTTTATACTACGCCGAAGTTAGCAATTCGTTGCTATTTGAAAGAAGTCAATTTTGCAATCAGAAAATTCATGGAGGAACATGGCATTATATAGGTAATTTAAGCCGTCCAAGCCTTACTGTTGATATACATATTAGTGTAGGTATGATAGTCGCTAGCAATGTTATCACTAAAGAGCTATGTATCTATGTAACGCTGAAACCTACATGACATTTCTGTACATGTATGTACATGTACATATGCAGGTAGATAGGTAACTTGAGTGGATCGGTAAATACCGTACTTAGCTAAGCAAAGTACCTAAGCTAAGCTAAGCTAAGCCCCTCCTCAAAACATGTAACTTTTACATGTATCATCTTACCTACCCACCTCTCTACCACTCAAATAGCACCACGACTTTGTGCAGCTCACCCTGGTTCTTCATCCATCTCCTCTCCAGAAATCAAACCAAGAGTAAAACGACAACATTAGACAAGCTCGTCTCCGGTTCGAACCACATGTCCCGCCTACGCGCCGACGAATCATCCTATTTCTCTAGTTCCGACGCAGGGAATCACATCCATTATCTACGAGAACATCAAGCACTTCCTGTTGGCTGCCACAGCATATCGCCTAATACTACTTACAATCAGCCCAGCTACTGGCTTGTCTAGTTTGTCTAGTTCGTCTGGCTCGTCTGGCTCGTCCGGCTCGTCTAAGCACTTCAAACATCCTCCCAGCCTACATATCCCGTATATACACTGAGCCTGCACGTTATAGAACATGGCAGATACATCATATCCTTCAACCTACCCGCCTCCTCAACTTCGTAGTAATTCCCCTCCTCATCCACAGACCAATACCACCACCAGTAGCTCTCCGAACGATAGCAATTTCCCAAGGCGTTCACTACCCTTCGTCTTCCCTCCTGTCTTTCCCAAAATTACTTCATCCACCTTTCTCGTACCAAATACCGCCGAAGGAAGACCAATCCCTCTCGACGACTCTACCACTGCCCATCGTACTACTGCCCTACGCCAGCTGAGTCGTTCCCAACCATCCTCGCGCCAACGTTATTCCAGAGTCAAAACTCCGCCCAGTGCCAAGAGTTCAACGGCCGGAACTTATTCGCAACCCGTCGTAGTGCGTACATATCCAGGAGCTTCTTCGTCGTCTTCTTCAGCAGTTAAGGGCCCGGTGTCCGTCTCTAGTACCTCGTCTTCACATAATCTATCATCTCAGCGTATTAAACGGAATAGCACAATGAAGGACAAGATGCGCCGTAAAGGAACCGAAAAAAGACGCGCAACAGTCGAAGCCAAACTACCGCCTCTTGAATCCTTCACCTTTAAGAGTATCATAGCAGATATACAACAGGACGTTAATGCAGACCTTGACCGGATAGCAGAGATATGTGCACGCACGAAGTACTCTCTCAGCAACCAGTACGAGGTCCATATCGCCCCTCAAGGATCAGGACCGGGGTTCCTAGGACCCCCATCTACATCTTCAAGGCATCATGTTCCTGGAGGGTCTACGCTACAGTCGGTATCGAGCGATGACGAACATACTGGTTCCGTGCAGAGGAAAAGAAGAGGCGCTGCTCGGCGGAGAAATACCGCCTACGGTACTCTAGAAACAATTATGAGTTCGAGCAGGTCCTCGGATGAAGATAGGAGCAATAAAAAGCCGGCCGCTCAGATTATAGAGGAAGTAAGTCGTACTACTACAGGTACCAACGATGAGAGCACCAGTGCGGCCAGTACGGAGGCCCAGGCCAGTAGCGAACAACAGGACGACCAACAAGGGTCTCTCTCGTCGAAGCCGGCTATATTCGCAACAGCCATCATCGACAGGTCTCGAGGCCAAACGCAGAACGCTACTACTTCCCCAGGGGCACCGGGGGTGATCTTACTAAGTAGTCCTGCAGAGCCACAGACATCAAAGAATCACCTTGAAACCAAGACATCGCCTGTAGGACCTACTGGAAGATATTATACACGCGAATCTCTAACGAGGATTCCCCAGGCAGTCGCATCAAAATCTGTAGCTGCAGCAGACATTACCACACCAGAAGAGCCAAGGAGTTCATCAAGCCTGTTGTCCGGGTTCAGCACATGGATGTCCTGGAAGGGAGCAAAGCCTTCTTCTGAGGTAGCTGTGGCAGATCCCGAGGTACCTAGGGGCTATTCTTCTTACGCTGAAGGTACACTGAGGGAATTGCTCAGGTCCATAGAACAAGTTGGGGACACGGCCAAAAGGGATATCAATATATGAGCACGTGAAATGTTGGCAAGGTTTGCAAGGTTTTATAACTCGTAACACCTCATGGGTACTGCTTTTATTAGGGTATTGTAGCAGCAAGGCGTTTGGTTAGTTCTCCCGGCAAGTAGAAGAAACAAAAAGCGTAGGATGTCTTACCAGTCAGAGGCATCGCACCGTGCGCGTTCAATACTTACCTACGTTGTTATTCGAGAATAGTAAACAAGTCAGCTAAGAGGAAGATATGAAGATACCCAGATATGCCTAATGACATATATGTACGAATGTACAAAAAATATAATTTGAACTGTTAAACCTGATACCCAACTCAGCTACTTTTAGGCCATTTCGTGCCGTGCGATAGCAAAACTTATATTTCTCTTTGCCAATATATATTATAGAATGCAAGCCGGACTGTTTCCCTAGCCAGTGGTTAGAGATTAAGTTATCTTAAGGGCTTAGCATTTGATCTACTTTTGCGTATTGTTCCTAATCCTACAATATTCACGTCACGTGTAAGCGTTTACCAACTCTTTACTGTCGGCTGCTGTTGCTCCGATTTTGACGATTGATACGTTTTTAAATACATCGATATATTATGCTTCACTTGTGTTTATCCTGCTGATTGTGTTTGTAGGTTATGGCATCCGTGTGGTACATTAAAAGCCCGAAATGTAAGCACAAGATCGAACATGTTGTAAAGCTTTATAAGTCCTCGTGTCTAGCCCTCTATGTACTTATCGTAATGGAACAATCATTGTATAAAGATCACCAAGAACAACCCGAGATTGCACCCGCATCATATTCTTACTTATGATATAGCACCGGGCCTATTCATAAGGCAACTACACTCCTATAGCTAAATAATAACGGTGGAAGGGTTTTAATATATCATAGAGGGGGGGGGGGGGGGGGGGGGGGGGGGGGGGGGGGGGGGGGGGGGGGCGGGAGGGGGGGGGGGGGGGGGGGAGG